ATTAAATGGTGTGTTAGAGAGTAGGAACCGGACTTTATTGGATATGGTCCAATCACTTCTTGTACACTCAGAACTACCTACATCCTTTTGGGGGTACGCATTAGAGACTGTGATATATGTGTTGAACCGGGTTCCAACCAAATCCATTCCTAAGACTCCATATGAGCTATGGGCCGGTAAGAAACCAAGTGTAAGACACTTGAAGATTTGGGGCTGTCCAGCACATGTTAAAAGAACAAGTGGTAATAAATTGGAATCCAAGACCAATTGTTGCATATTTGTAGGCTACCCCAAAGGCTCTGTAGGATATTTATTCTATGACCCAAAAGAGCAAAAGGTGTTTTGTAATCGAAATGCCCATTTCTTGGAAGAATATTACATCCTGAACAATCATCATCAAGAAGTTGTTCTTGATGAAAAGAGCTCAGGAGTAGTGGGAGATGTCCCACAAGCTCCAGACAATAACCAACCTAGAAGGTCTACCCGGGTATCCAGAACTCCAGTTCATTACGACTATGACCAAGAAAGTTACTTGGTGGAAGCCACGACCAGTGAGGAAGATCCCGTGACTTATATGGAAGCTATGTTGGGCATAGATTCCTTAAAGTGGTAGATGCCAAGAAAGTTGAGATGGACTCGATGGAGATCAACAAGGCCTGGACTATTGTAGACCCGCCCCCTAGGGTGAAAGCAATTGGTTGCAAGTTGATTTACAAGAGGAAGAAGGGTCCATATGGTAACGTTGAGACCTATAAAGCTCATCTTGTGGCGAAAGGGTACACTTAGAAAGAGGGAATTGACTAYGAGAAAACCTTTTTGCCAGTGGTCATGCTTAAGTCTATTAAGACCCTACTAGTTGTAATAGCATACCATGATTACGAGATTTGGCAAATGAATATCAAAACCACATTCCTGAATAGAGATCTTATTGAAGATATCTATATCTAGCAACCGCAAAGTTTCATAGCTACAGGTTAGAAACACATGGTATGTAAACTCAATCGATCCATATATGGACTAAGCAAGCTTCTAGAAGCTGGAACATCCAGTTTGACTCTGCTRTTAAACAGTTTGACTTTGAGTAGAATCTAGATGAGCCCTCTGTTTACAGGAAGATAGTGGGAGATAAGGTTATATTCCTGGTTCTGTATGTAAATGACATTCTACTCATTGGGAATGATGTAGGGATGCTAAATACAGTGAAAGTGTGGCTTTCACAGCAATTCTTCATGAAAGATCTTGGAGAAGCCTCCTACATCTTGGGTCTTTGACTCTATAGAGATAGATCAAAGAGGATAATAGGATTATCCCAGTTTACTTACATTGACAAGATTGTCAAAAGATACAATATGGAGAACTCCAAGAAAGGAAATGTTCCTTTCAGGCACGGAATCACTCTCTCCAAGGGTATGTCTCCCAAGATTCCCGAAGAGATTGAGGGCATGAGAGAGGTTCCCTATACCTTAGCCGTAGGGAGCCTCATGTATGCCATGCTATGCATTCGGCCTGACATTGCTCAAGCAGTGAGTGTAGTAAGTAGGTTTCAATCTAACCCAAGTCAGGAGCACTGGATAGTTCTGAAAAACATACTCAAGTACCTTCGAAGGACAAAAGAGTTTTGTCTGGTATTCGATGGTAGTTCACTACAAATCGTAGGCTATATTGATGCTGATTTCCAGTCAGACCCAGATGGTAGAAAGTCTACATCTGGTTACATCTTCACGATGGGGTCCTGTGTAGTGAGAATAGTAGTACACAACCCAAGTCGAGCACATTGTCGTAAGTGAGGTTGCCTATGGATGAAGTGGTTCATCTTAGAATTTGGAATCCTACCACTGTTGTATGACAACACTATTGGTATAGGGGATGCCCAGACTTAGACGGTAGCATTAGCGGAGAATGTGGCAGACCCATTGACTGAGCCACTGGCATAGAAAGTGTTTGAGAAACACATGGGCAGTTTGGGACTCCAACTTGTACCCGATTGAACCTAAGTGCAAGTGAGAGCCGTTAGACAGTGTATGCCCTTAGCTCCAATCAGATTAATGTACCTTTTGTCATTTATTGTAAATGAATAAAGTGTATAATTGGTTCATGTTATTTTGGTATGTTTCTGTGTAATACCCTTAAACTGAACACTTATGAAACTCGTGTTAGTTTAGAATCTTCACAGTCGTTGGATAGATCTGGGGAGATTTATCCTGCCAAGGCTTATACTACTGATATGACACCAAGTGGGTTAGGGTGGCTTGTCTCAGCTACCAGGGTGAGACCTGAGGTACATGCAGTGTGGATTTTCTTGAAACCCTGAACTGGACCAAATTCCAGTATTGCCCTAGACCTTGGAGACAGATGGGCAAAACTGAAATGTTACACCTGACCCCTAGACTCGATTATGGTACTGCACTAGGTGTCGGATTGGGCTGTCTTTGATATGCCAATCAGTGAGATCCTTGAACGGGTCAAAACCTGGGTATATTGGGGTAGTACGAGAATTCACCTGAGTGGGTGATCATAGTGATAGGATCAGCCCCTTTGTCGGACAAAGTGAATGATCGGGGAATGCACTTTCTCTGATGGAAACCTAAACTACCGGTAGTTGATTTCAAATTGTTGAGATTTGTTTTTGCAAAATATATTTATATAGAGATATACATATATATTATGGTTTCACAAAATGTTTGCAAAATGTTTAATTCCCAGGATCCATGTAAGTAGAGAGTGCAACACTGTACCTTGTAGCCGAAGGAGAATGCCTCTCTTGTCGGGTAGTGTTTGATCATTAAGGACTGAGAGGTTAAGTGTAAGACCATTAAGGGTTATACCTGATGGGCTAATCTTGCATCTGCCCACAATCCTTGGGTCTTCACAAGATGGCTGAACCCAAAGACCATTTAGTGTAAATGTTGGGCCCATTTAGAGCCCATATTGATGGACTCAAGGGTTCATTGTGTTTTGTAGTGAACTCGGCCAGGCCTTGTAACAAAGGTTGGGCTGAACCCATGTGGTTAATGTGTAGATCAATGCTTGGGTCCAATGCCATACAAAGAGAGCCATACTAGCCAACATTTAAAGGGTAAAGTGAGAAGTGTGACTTAATGGGCCTAAGGCCCATTTCGAACTGGGCTTAAGTGATTTAATTAAATGGGCAAATTTGGGTTTATAATCTGATTAGGATTAGCAGTTGGATAAGATAAGTCTTATCCACTTGAGAGTCTAGATCCAAATATAAGATTTGGATCAAGAAACTCATTCCTAATTGGATTAGGAAGCTGATCCAAGGAAGATTATAAATAAGGGGGCAAATTCTATAGAAAGATCACTTCTTTTTTGTAATCTTTTTTCTCCCTTTGCTCTTGCTGCCCCTGCCTAGTTTGATCTCCACCTCTTGGAATGATCAAGAATTGTTCTTGATATTGTTTCTTGGTGAATGAACAATCTGAAATCGTGATCACACATCCCTACACGATTCTTGGTGAAGAATCACAGGTTCTTGTTGAAGAACTCTTCTTGCTGATCCTGCCTCAACATTCGTTGTGTCATCTTCAGTGGAGGTGGATTTAGTAACCTCTTTGGGTGTGAACACCTACGTTGGGAGTTACTGCTATTCCGTATCATGTACATCCCTACTTGCTTCCTTTTGGTTTCAGATTTGGTCTGGTTTGTTTCAAGAACGAACCTTGAAAAATGTAGTTTTTCTAAATCAGAGAATAGGATTCCCGGAAGGGAGAAAGAAATTTTTGAAATTTCACCCAACCACCCTGCATGGTTCGGCCATCCATATGATTGATCTCCCTTCCCTTCACTGTCTTCATCAAATCAATGAATGTTGCACATCAATCTCCAATTCTCCACCTGGTACCCACCGGCCACCACCCACTCCGGAGCAAACCATGTTGACGAGTTACTCCACTGGTTATTGTTACACACAAATAGAAAGAAACCTTTAGTATGATTAGGTTTAGGGGTGTTTACGGTTTGGTCAACCAAATCATAGACATTTTTTTTCAAACCGAACCGATCCTATTGGTTTTTCGATTTCTTCAAACCGAAACAGAACTAGTACCACCAATTAACTGGTTGATCAGTTTCGATTTTTGACTGGCTTGCTTCTTCAATTTTTTTATTTATAATATATATTATATAAATATATAATATTATTTTGTAAATAATAAATGATATATAATATGTTATAAATATTATAAAAATATATATAGTATATAATATATTTATTAATAGATTATTATAAATACAATATATATTTATATTTATATATAATACATATAGATAATATAGGTAATATGTGACATATATACGGTCAATTCGATTTACAACCAATTTTTTTAGGTTAATAAAAAATCAAACCAATTCTTCGATTTTTCAAAAATACCAAACCAATCGATTCAATTAACTACACTTTCTGCTTCGATTTTCTAGATTTGATTTTTTGGTTTTTTATGAAAACCCCTAATTGGGTCAAAGCAGAATACACGAGCAGAAACCTTCTCGGATGCGGCTAGGGTAATTAAAAACTTGAGAGGAGCCACCATTCCTGGTGGCTCGTATGAGTAGCCCACATTGTAAAGTCAAAATCTTTGAAATCTAACTGAACATTGGGAGGGCATAATCGTAATTCCAATATTTCCGTTACAATAAAGTTAACGGAAGGGTTGTATTTGTATGTTTCTTTCAAAGGTAAAGGCAAATTTTTGCAAGTATATCATGACAGAGTGGGAATTTTAAGTATTTGTCAGAAAATTTTTGTAAGCTACTTTTCTTTAACGGCAGAAATTCAAAGAGAGTGAAGTTATTTGCCATTCCCAAACTTTGAGGCAGTGAATAGGAAGACAATTCCAAATTAGGCGTATTTGCTCCAAAACCACAGCCCCACACGCACTCGTCATCACGACTACTCCAGCCAGAGCCGTTGCTATTTTCCGTCTTTTCCTTTGCAACGGCTAGTTTTATTCCTCTAAAAACTACTCTCTCTCTCTCTCTCTCTCTCTCTCTCTATTTTTAATTTCTCCGTACATTTCAAAAGGCAAGTCAAATCGGAGGAACCCTGAATCGACCCATCTTCTTCTTCCTCGGTTCACTGCCGATCCTATGCTTAATTTCTCTCACGAGGAAAAATGAGTGAAGTCATGGCCGAAGCTTGTACATCAACCCATGAGCGGCAGCAGCAGCAGATTACAACCAGCACCGCCAGCACTGCAACCGGAGGAGCTCCACCTCCTCATCGGAGGCCGCGGGTAAGGGAAGTGAGCTCCAGGTTCATGTCTCCGGTGGGTTCTTCTTTGTCGTCTGGAGATTTCCATCTTTTAGCCTCCAAATGCCCCACTCCCAAACAGAACCAGCAGCAGCGCTCGCAGTCCGTGCAGAGGCGTCACGTAGGCCCGGACCCATTGTCTACCGCCGACGAGAACAGGTTCGATATCCACCTAAGCTCTGAAACCCCTCAGTGCTTACAAAGAAAAGCAGCTCTTCCAGTGCAGCAGCGCAAACAACGCGCCGTGAAGCTCTTCAAGGAGAACGAATGCAGCAGGGAGCAGCAGCTGCAAGATCCCGAGGCCATACACTTGAAAACATTAAGTAGCGGCAAGTTCCCAACGAGAATCTGTAGCGTTTCCCATTCTAGACCAGACACGCCCACAGTTCATAGCTTGTACAGGGCGACCACCACCGCCAGACCGGTCCATCGGTCCACCAACATCGCCTCTATAGCAACCACCGCTGCTGCAAAGCTGGTCCAATCGAGTGGGTTGGCTGCGGCTTCGGTCCATGAGATTTCTTCTCGTGTGGATGATTGTGATCTAGCACATTCGGATACCGAAACAGAAAATTCAACCATCAGTGATTGCTCTGAAACGAAACCATGCTCTAGTTATTCTCAAGGAAGCATGTGCAGTAGTCCTCCAATACCGCCACAAAACTCGAAGATCCGTTGTCTTCCAGATGTTCGCTTGTCGATGCCAGAGGCGGATCTGTTGCCCGCCATGTCTTCGAGGTTAGTAGCGGGGAGAAATTTCAAGCAAAGAGATGGAGATGTCGTGGGGGATTCTTGCATTTCCTCTGCTTCCCCTTGCTACCGTTCTTTGAATACGCCATTGTCGGGTTGCTGCGAAAAYTCTTTATTGAGTCCCTCCAAATCTTTGTACAAGTCATCACATTTTCTTTCCAAACAAAGTATCCCTTCCATGAAGACAAGTGGTGTCTGTCTTCCACCGCACCCGGCAAATATGAAGTTGGGAGCGGAGGCACGGAAAGGAAGGAAGGTTTCGAGTCAGCAAGAAAATGTACATACCTTTCGCCTTCTTCACAACCGTTATCTGCAATGGAGATATGCTAATGCGAAAGCTGAAGCTGCTATGAATGCTCAGAAAATTGCAGCTGAGGTAAGTCATCTCCTGACCCTTGCAACTGTGTTTTTGAACAGCATTAGAAATTGTCACCGAATCACATCCTTTTAAATTGCTTAATATTAAATTTTCGTCTAATTCAAGTGAACACAAGAAACGACACCTTCCAAGTTTATTTTGCTTAATGTTAAAAGCTCAATTACTGTTATCATATAGTCAACCTAGCTAAGTTTCTGACCAAGAGCAATGGCAATCAACCTTGACATGTCGCTTGACCTTCACTTGAAATAGCGATAAAACAACACTGATGAAAAGAAAAACATGGATGTTTTGGGGAGTTTGGAAAAGAGGAGCAAAGATAATTGCATGGTGTAAAAGGTTAAGAGATTGAAATCATCCTTTACTTGCAGAGCATAAAGGGCCAGCTCTATGGAGAGACAACACTTGTGCCAAATTGCATCTCATCCATCATAAACATGCATAGTTCTCCAAAATAAAATGGAAATAGCCACTCAGAAACCTCTACACCTAAAGGGGTATGAAAAGCAATTAATGAGAACAATATAAAGATGACTCTTGTAATTTAAAATAACACCATAAAGCAATTAATGATTTAACAAATTTTAAATAACAAAAATAATAAAAAACAACACTAGCATGGCTACAAAACATCATAAATGCAGGAAACAAAGGCTCAAGAAATGAGAACAAAACAAAGGATACGTGCAAATAGTTGTTGGAATCTGTTCTAATTAATGGAGTGAACTATGCTGTGGTGGTAAATGAATTCTTCTAATGGAATTCTAGAAAGACAGGATTGAAGGATGAATCTACTTACTTATATACATAATGAAAAGTCATTTCAAACAACTCATAATGACATGAGTCTTTTTTTTCTATTTGAATGAAAAAGAAGCAAATCCCATAGAAGGTCATTGGGAATCAATGGATGATGATAGCAAAAGAAGAGTTCAATTCGATGTTTTTCTTCCTGAATAAAATTGTCCCTCAATAGCTTAACGTTTTTCTCTTCAACTACTGCATATTTGATTGGTTGATTCCATTCCTATATCCATTTCCCTCCCTTTTAGTTCCAATTGACAGAAACTCTAGTCATTTTTCCCAGCGGTGTCACTCTCATGAAGTAATGCAGCCTCAGAATGTTGTCAAATCAATGATTTGGTCAATGTACAAACTCTTATGGGCACAAACACCCATAGAGTTAATATAACTGACTGAACATTCTTTTAACCTTTTTATTCCTCAGGGATCACTTTATGCTCTTGGCATCAAAATATCAGAACTGCAGGATTCTGTGACAAGGAAACGCGTTGAACTTGAAAGGTTGAAAAAGACAAGAATATTATCAAATGTTCTAGAATACCAAGTAAGTTACTTACTTGATGATGAATCTGTTCTTATCTTAATTATTAGCATCAACAAAGTTGCAAATGGTAATGGGTTCCTTATTGTTTTTCAAATTATATGACCTTTATGAAACTTATTTTTCTAGTTCCAAGTCTTAGAGTGTAGTTATTGCAGTTCTCTTACTAAATTTACATATCATTTCCTAGGTGTTTTAATTTTAAAAGTTGTTTTCCTAATGTATATGGGCCATTATTGTTTCTCTTGTTGCTTTGTTGTCATTAGGCAAGAAACCTCATTAAGTATTTTCATCTATGAAAAATAATCTGCTTGTTCAATGACGAACCTAAAGGAAAATACATAAGAAGATTGTGGTCCATGATGTTTTTGGTGTTGGAACCGGTACCATTGATGCAATGTGGCTATGAATTTTAAGCTTTCCTCCACAAGACTAAATGAAAAGAAGGAGGTATTTTTGTAACCAGATGCATGTCTGTCTTGAGAGTCCGACTCGACAAGACAAAGAAACAAGGACTCGCGGATATGTCTATACAAAAGTATAAACTATTAAAATAATCCACATTTTTTTTAATTTTTACATCATAAACCCATAGAAACAAGGACTGATGTGTCTAGAGACATAGAATCCACTCTTGCTTCTATTGACTAGTTGACCTGAAGCCGTTTCATATTTTTTGAAGCCCTTTAATTTTGAGAGAGTTCTCTTCTCACCCCTTGTGAAAATAATAGTGTCATCCACATATAAGGACTGAGAAATGTTATAACAGCCCCTTGGCATTTGATAACATTTCACCCGGTTGTGATTCATTAAAAATTTCATATCCCTATTCAGCACCTCCTCAGTTACAAGTCCATGTTATATATAGCCCTCGAATGAATACATTTGCGGAAGATATTCCCAATGTGCAGCAGATTGTTGTAAATAGAGTTTTAGCTCACAAAAGATCTGGCTCTAAACATGGATTCATGGTCTGCGCAATGGTTCTTCAGCCGTGCACAACATGGTTCAGGCAGTTTAACAATGGTTCATGAATTTTGACATAACCCTAAGATGATTCTGATATGGGGTTAATACAAGAAGCCTTAAATTACCCTGAAATGATCCTAATGCAGGATTAATAATACATGAAGCTTGGCATAACCCTAAGAAGATTTTGACATGGGATAAATGCATGAAGCCTAAAATAACCCTGAAGAGATAGGACAACAATAATCACCTTTATTACTTAAACAGCGTTTTATAGGAAAAATAACATTCATTGTGCACATTAGGCATTCACTTATGTTGAATAAGTAAGGAGAAAAAGATTTTAAAGTATTGGTAACCCTAACACTACCCTTTCCTGTAACAAGGGCAAGAGATCCATAGCTAACTTTATCCCCCAAAGAAGAGATGATAGGAATGAAACAGTGAAAAAAAATACTAATCATCTGGTCCAATTCCCCAGAATCAATAATCCAAGGAATAGACTTTACCTAAAGCGGTAGCAAGATTAGCAGTAGCCCAGGTACCTAAATTAGCAARTGCAGTCAATGGTGCAGATGTACATGTAGGGTAAAGCTTAAAGAATTAGCAGCTCTTCAAATTAGACAAATACTTGCTTACCTCTCTACTTCAGCCCTAGCAGCAACTAAACTTTCCATCGTTGGAAAACTAGGAATAGAAACACATGATGTTCTACCACTTTGAACTTCACCAGGTGTAGTTATTGCATTTGCATGTCCTTTCTTTCCACCATTCCTCTTAAACCTAGGAGGAGTGAGATGAGAAATCAGCTTCCAACATTGTCTCCCTGGTGTGTGGCTTCAGCTTCTTTACATTTCCAACCTTTCCCTGTGCTTGGGGACTCTTAGACCAACATGAAGCAAGATTTGTATGGTCAATGGGAGGTCCCTGAAGCATAACACATCTCCTATTCACTTTGAATAAGAGAGTGAGCCTGAAACAAAAAGATATCCTCCTTAGCAAGTATTTTGTTGTACAATATCATTCTGGTATTCAACCCTGTCAAAAATTCAAACACCTGTTCCTTTCTACAACTTTCTTATGTATCTCCCATCACAGAAACTACAAAGTAGAAAAATTAGGGATAGAGATAGAACTCCTTGCTTTTGAGATTATTGATCTCAAACTGAAGCTGATGCCCTAGCAACACTAAGGGCTTGAGAATAGGTCTCGAAGACACTACCCCAAATCTCCTTGTCTGTCTTCATGTACAAGTATTTCTTACTCAAGTGTTGCTGCATAGACATGCAAGCAAGTTCAGATTCTTTACCTGTTAGATAGCCCAATTTACCCCATCCATTTATAGACATACATTCAGATTGGACCCATTCTAGGTAATTATCACCATCTAACTATAGTGATTTGAGTATTCAACCCATCTCCAGAATCACTGCAGACTTGTAATCACTTCTAGATGCTTACTTGAAAGAGTATCAACAAGCTCTTGGAGTTGACCTATAAGAACCCTACAGCCAATAACCACCTAAACTTCAACATGAAAGACAAGAAACATGTAGAATAGTAACCACCAAAACTTCAAGAAACATACATTCAGATTGGACCCGTTCTAGGTAATTACCACCAYCTAATTATAGTGATTTGAGTATTCAACCCATCTCCAGAATCCACTCCAGACTTGTAATCACTTCTAGATTCTTACTTGAAAGAGTATCAACAAGTTCTTGGAGTTGATCTATAAGAACCCTACAGCCAATAACCACCAAAACTTCAACATGGAAGACAAGAAACATGTAGAATAGTAACCACCAAAACTTCAACATGGAAGACAAGAAACAAGTAGAATAGTAACTACTCACTCCAGAGTCACAAGAAAGACTGTTAGATGCAGTTGCCTACTATATCAGATCAAACTGATCTAAAAAGAGACAAGCACCAGTGCAGAATGCTCCTGGCCCTTGCCAATTTGGACTAATACAGATTTCTCTCCGGCATCCTTGATTCTTGGGAAGTATCCAAGAACTCCTCTTTTGCTTACCAATCAGCCTGAGATTGATACTCCAAAAATCCTCTAAAAACTGGCCTAAAACAAGCAACTGATCAGCACATTTAACCACTCATGCAGATGGCTGATCTCAAATCTGCATGAGAAACTCTAGATTAGATAAATAATCTTAGATACTTGCAGAAAGTGTTTTAGAATAGATAATCAGCCTGAGATTGACACAACAAAAATCCTCTAAAAGCTGGCCTAAAACAAGCAGATGATCAGTGATGATGCGCGTTTCGGCAGCTCCCTTCTGGATGGCAGCTCGGATGCCGAGTTGGTGGCTTCCTTGATAAGAGGTGATTCAGATGTCGAGTTGGAGAATTTCCTCGCCGGGAAATGACTTGGATGCCAAGTTAACTAGGCCGACGGAGCTGTATATCATTCCAAAGGAGGCAGTGTCAGAGTATCCTGGGTTTCTTTTCCCGGGATGGGTACTCCGATGCTTAAGTCAGTGAATTGATGATTTTATAAGAGAGCTGAAAGTGAAAGAGTTAGAGGGTTGTGAGAGCTGAGTTGTGCATCTTACTTCTTTTCTTGTCAAGTTGGAAGTTAGACCTTTATATAGGCGTTGCTTGGCGTGAGCTTCACGCATCGTAAGGAGGCAGTGTTAGAGTATCCTGGGTTTCTTTTCCCGGGGTGGGTACTCCGATGCTTAAGTCAGTGAATTGAAGATTTTATAAGAGAGCTGAAAGTGAAAGAGTTAGAGGGTTGTGAGAGCTGAGTTGCACATCTTACTTCTTTTCTTGTCAAGTTGGAGGTTAGGCCTTTATATAAGCGTTGCTTGGCGTGAGCTTCACGCATCGTGTCCGAGTTCTCCGGGAGGTCGTGCCCAACCGGTCCGAAGTCCACGGAGGTAGCCATACACATAGACCAGTCTTTGTGCCTTGCTCGGTCTCCTCCGGAACATTCGATACAGGGGCCAACTTCTGAGAGACCCAGTAGTGATGGGTCATGTATGCAGAATTGGTCGGTGAGCACATCTCGCAGTTGCCACCTGGACCTCAATCAAGTCGGCAAGCCCTCGAAGGAGGTCATTCCTCGCGTCAAGGTCACTTCGGCCGGTGACGAGGTGCTACAGGTCGGCCTTGGACGAGGTGCGAGGTGCTTCTAGCCGGCCTAAGTTGTGGTCAAGGTTGCCAGGTCAGTGGCAAAGGCAGGTCGCCAGGTCGAGGCGAAGACGAACCATGATCTGGGACTCTAAATCATTGCTTAGGTGGTGTCTGTGTGTCATTCAGCTGTTCCAATATGCCATGTGTCATGATGTCATTGGAGGGTCAAATCCGCCCTCATTAATCAGCACATTTAATCCCTCATGCAGATGGCTGATGTCAAATCTGCATGAGAAACTAACTCAAGATAGAATAAAAAGGTGCTTTGGTATCAAGTTTTCTAGATTTCAGCAATGAATAATCATAGATACTTGGAGAAAAGTTTTAGAATAGAATAAAAGAGAAGAAGAGAGAAAGGCGATAGGAGAGAAAGAATACGTTGTGGGTTCTAGGTTAGTCCCACAATCTCACATAGATGCCCCTGTATAGGTAGCAGACCAAAAAGAACTATGGTATTGGAAAGAAGACAAGATATCGGGTTCAGGTTAAAACAATAGGCCAGGTCAGCCAAACCTGCACCCAATTTGGATTGAATAATCAAAACTCTAAACTAACCCTCCCGATTTTGGTTAAAACAAACATTGAAAGAAATCCTAAACTTTAAGATTAGGGGTTAAAAGTCAAACCAAATTACAATAATACCCTTTTAGGTGTAGGGATATTATGACCCAATGGGCCAAGTCAGCCAAACCTACACCCGATTTGGATTAAATAAATAAGCCTGACCCTAACCTGACCATGTAGGGGTGAGTCAAGTCAAATTTACCATTTAACTTGACCCATTGACATCCCTATACGAGATTAGCCACTCTCACAGGGGTTTCACTTTGGATTGTGGTTAGAACACAACTAAACATAACTCAAAAATATAATACTTGAGTTGGCTTGGATTGACTTGGCTCAATTGGGAAAGCCCAGTAAATAACAAGAAACAGCCTATAATAAAGAATAGACAAACAAGCTCAAAACAGAAATAAAATAAGGTTGGCCAATACACCATCTCAACACATATAAGATGATAGAGAAAATTGAATTATTCCTTGTATTTTGTACAAACAGTTGTCCTCTTGTTCTTATTTCACTGGGTGTCAAAAGAAAGGGTGGTTTCAAAGCCACATTTTTCCAAATCCAATTTCTTCATTTGGTCCATGTATTCACCTGCACTATAACAACTTCCCCTCTTCCCCAACACACACATACACACTCCATAATGTATTATTTCCTTCTTCTAATCCCCCTTCATATCCCACTCCCAAGACATTAATACTTTTCCAAATCCAATTTCTTCATTTGGTCCATGTATTCACCTGCAGTATAACAACTTCCCCTCTTCCCCAACACACACATACACACTCCATAATGTATTCTTTCCTTCTTCTAATCCCCCTTCATATCCCACTCCCAAGACATTAATACTTTTAGTAGCATGAATGCATGATCATTAATGTTAGCTTTCCTAATGAATATGTATCTTTTTTTTTTTGTGTGTGTGGCTGATTCTAGATGTCATATTTGGAGGAATGGTTTGCAATGGAAAGGCATTATTCAAGTTCTTTATCAGGAGTAGTTAAAGCTTTGGAAGATGCCTCAGTCAGAATTCCGTTCAATGGTAATGTGAAGGTAAGATATATTTCATATTATTGGTCCATTGATGATGTATTTTTTTATCTCAACCTATTAATATTATTTGGTGTTTTTATCTTCCTTCTGTTATAATTGCCTTTTTATCATCCCAATGATCCAGTTTTCTAAATAAATCTGATGATTCTGTTTTCATCCATTGCTAGTTATCAAGATGTTTATGATGATGTTACAATAACCATGTTCTACCAATTTTTCAGGCTGACATTAGAGAAGTAGGGGAAGCCATGAACTCAGCATTAAATGTCATGGAAATAATTTCCTCTAACCTTGGAAACTTCTGTCCAAAGGTAAGACAAAAGTTTTATAGGTATTTATAAACTATTATAAATACAGTATATATACAAAGTAGACATAATAAGATATGTTCTGTAGGTTAAAAAATATTTTTATTTGATGAGGTGAGTTGTCTAACAATCCTAGGATTATATAAGCAGAACAAGGAATAAAGTATTTTTTTCATGATGGGCTTCAGATATCCATTTTGACAAAAGTTCCTTGAATAAAAATGCAGGCTGAACAACTGGATAATTTGATTTCAGAACTTGCAAGGGTGGCCAGCAGTGAAAAAACTTTAGTTGAAGAATGTGGAGATTTGTCATCCAAGATTCAGATGTTACAGGTTTCCATCCATTTGGTTTTTTTTTTTTTTTTTTTTTTTTTTTTTTTCACTTGAGGAAATGGTGTAGTTATTCTCTCTACAAACTTAGACCCCATTTGGGAGGGCTTCTGTGTTGATTGAACTGCATTGACAGCCGCTTCAGAGAAGCTACCTGACTGAGATAGCTTTACCAGAAAGTCAATTTTGCAGTTTCTGACTTTCCAGGTTTTTACCAAACACAGCTTCATGGTGTTCCGGGTTTCTGAGCTCATGTAACGCCAGAAGCCACAGAGTGAAAAACCCTCCCAAACAGGCACTTACTGTTTTTTGGGGGTGGGGGAACTATCTTAATGATTGGAAAATACATATTAGCTTATTTATTCTTTTGCATATCCGGCATGCTTAAGGGGCCTACCCATGACCAGGTAGAATAATGTAGGGTGGAGATCCTTGGTAATTTTATCAGTTCATATATTATTACTTACTAATTGTTTCGTTTGCTTTACTTTTAGATTGTGGAGTGCAGTTTAAGAGGCCAATTGATTCAAATGAACCATAGCAGTTTTGATCAACCAAAAGAACAATAAGCTTGAACTCTGTTGCTACCTCCTTTCTGATCTTGTTGAACACAGGAGTCAAAATCTCATTTTTCAAGATTGCAAGACAACATCAATTTAGCTACAAGTTCCAGCAGTTTGTTGGAAATCATTATTTCTCCTCTGTCATATGTTTGTCCTTTCAATAATGAGAACCTATGTGCTTCTCAAATATTTGTAATTAACATTTTCTTTATTCTAGGGGAAAATAAGTCTCCAAGGTATCTTCCATCCATGTCAATAAAGAATCCACAGAACCCTCCTCTCATGGAACAAAACTTTCTTTTTGTTATTTTACTTTTCATTTTGTGTATCTGTATGTTGGCAAGAAAAAGGATGGTTATATAAAAAGTAATGGTTAAAAACAATATACATGCTGTTGCTTCTCATCCTCCTCTTGTGCTTTACATACAATAATTTTGAGGGTGTTTGGATCCATGGGTGTTTATTGAAAAAATATTGCCATATCAGTGCCACATAGGTGTTGGTGTTTATTGTGCATGAACCACTGTTTGGTTTCACCGTTTATAAATAAATACAAAAAATCATAAGCACTTGGATTTGTGCACCAGGCATTTGGGGAAAATGTCAAATTCTTGTTTTTTCCCAATGCCCCAGCATTGGGAGTTGGCGTTTATTGAGAAAACGCTGCCACATCAGTGCCACACAAGTGTTGGCATTTATTGTGCATGAAACCACTGTTTGGTTTCACCGTTTATCAAATAATTACAAAAAATCATAAACACTTGGACTTGTGCACTAGACATTTGGGGAAAATGTCAAATTCTTATTTCTCTCAATGCCCCGTCATTTCTTGAAATGAAATGCTTATGTGGCACACTTTTATGGGGTGTTAATCTGAGGTAGAAAGTAAAAAATGTTTAAAGGCCCAACCAAACAACAAAAGCAGGAAACATTTAAAGTGAAGCAATAAATGGTCCATCTATAAACGCCCACAGAACCAAACATTACATGGCCTATCTATTAACCAATGAGCCACTAGATGAGATAATGAGACCCAAAAATAGAATTGAACTAATGGGCCCAGTGATCATAAAGTTGATTAATTTTAT